CAATGCTATAAGTGTAGCTACCAGTTTGGCCGCCAATTTTGATTTCATTCCTTTAAGTCGCACACTCAATTTTTGGGCAACATCATTTTTTTTCACACCTAAGGTGTGTTTGATAAGATGCGACTTTTTGTCAATAAACACCAATAAACCACAGCAAATAAGAAAATGACACTCAATAGTAACTAACATTACCTTTAGGATCGCAATCCTATTATTCGGAACATACCTTTAATTTACAGAACCCACCAGATTTGTTTAGGATATATGGTGATAGTTTTTTCCTCTAAAACAGTGTTAATAGCCTCCTTTATAGTAACGCTATGGAATTTAGATTAACAGTTTCTTGTCATCATCCTCATGCAATCGGTACAGCCATATCAAGCATCATTATTTATGCTAATTGCTTAAGCTAATACCACGTGACGCTAAACACTCTTTAATTAGCAGAATTACATAAAATTTAACAAACTTGTGTTTAAAAATTGGCAAGTAATGATGAATAATAACTGTCCACCCATATGATGCTTTTGAAAACTTAAGCTAGAAACTGCTAATCTAGTTTGCTTGACCTAACCAATAATTATGTATCTGCACGTTTTTTCACATTATAGTTTTGCTGCTCTAAATTAGCCGTCTTTAATCCGAATGACAAAAACTAAAAACCGTCCACTTTTACTCTTATTTCAAGCTGTAGTAAAAATGTTAGACCTATAGCTCCCGTGATTTTTTGCGTAGGCGTGCGCAAACATTTTCGTCAAATTTGAGCAGTTGTTGTTAAATAACTTTGCACATGTGACTTACACTTGCACCAAATGAGACTCTTAAATGTAGGTTGAAAAGATCTATCAGTGACCAAATTTGGAAAAAAAAATCCGTAAAAGTTAAGTATGTTTCTCTATCAAATAAAGTTTCGGTACTTATGGTACCAAGTAAGAAAAAAAAATCAATCAAAATTGGGGATGTTATATCTCAGGCATTTCTTAATGGATTGCCTTAAAATTTGGTATTTGAAATAAGAGCACATCCACTGAAAATATGTGATAGTTTGGATTACCACAGTCCGAGAAACATAATGTGGAAAATCGCTAATCTATCACTTCTATTAGTAATACACAGTGTGTCCTGCAGCAGGTTGTTTTGGCCGTACGACACGCTATCGTGTGTCTTGATGTAAAAAAATCAACGAATTTATTTTAGATCTACAGATTGTTATTAAATACAAAAGTTTTGTACATAAAGGTTATTTTGATCTCTTATAAGATGTGTCCTTTATATCAGTGGGAAGAAAATATAACATCCACAATTCATTTTATAAGAGGGCTTAGCTCAAACTAATGATTTTATTAAACATCCTACACGAGGATTGTTTGTTTGTTTTTTTTAATTTCGCGCAAAGCTACACGAGGGCTATCTGCGCTAGCCGTCCCTAATTTAGCAGTGTAAGACTAGAGGGAAAGCAGCTAGTCATCACCACCCACCACCAACTCTTGGGCTACTCTTTTACCAATGAATAGTGGGATTGACCATCACATTATAATGCCCCCACAGCTGAAAGGGCGAGCATGTTTGATGTGATGGGGATTCAAACCCGCGCCCTTCAGATTACGAGTCGAGCGCCCTAACCACCTGGCCATGCCGGGCCAGCTATATGAGGAAGTAATTCAATCTGACGTGGAGAAAATTTAATATCAAAAACAAAACAGAATTGACTTGAAGTATACAAGCTGACAACAAAAAGTTCCTGACATTGGTATGTTTGACTAAAAAAAACAAAAACAAATGGACAGTTTGCTGAGATGATAAAATGTTTATAATTAGCAATTACGTAAAAATAAACTACTAATACGATCTTTTCTAGAAGTCGATATTTAAGTATAATAAAATTGTTGTGCATAAAATACTCATTAATCGTATTTCAAGAAGCTAATTTTGCAATATGCTTCAAGTTACAGAATAGATCACTGCAGAATTTTGTACTTACTGCTTATATTCTCTTAATATAGTAGGCAAAACAACCAATAATAGAAGTAATTATGCGAAGACACAGGTGTTACACATACAAGAGACATAAACAATGAGTACCTGAAGGATTTCCAGTATAAGAATGTGATTATACTTGCTAGCACTCAGGGTACCATCAATTTTGTGTATATCTCCAACACAACTGGCTGAGATGCACCTAACACTCGTATTGGTCCTCCAGCTTGCTTCACTTTATATGTACATTGATTATAATACTTTTCTCCTGCCATCGAACAGTATCGTTGATTATTGTGAAACAATTTGGATTCCTCTATTAAGAGCATTTGTTTTAGTTTTACTAATTCCATTGTTCGGTGTATGATGTATATTTTAGCCATTTGGTTTAGTTATTTCTTTTGATAAGTGATTACTACGCAGGTACACATCCACGGAGGTTACTTGCTATTCATGTCTATCTTGTTGTAGATTTAGCATTCATACCTGTAATTACAAGTAGGTCTCTAGATATCTACCAATTTGGTATACATCTTGCAGAAAGTACACTCCGAGTTACTTTTGAAGACTTTGCGATAATTATTTCAACTACTCTTCTTATCAATAGTATTAGTTCCATATACCCTTCCTTGGGTTTCCATTTTACTGAAAGATGAAACTTTGCCTCAATCTGTTGCTTGGAATAGCCTTTACCGCCAAACTTTGATTTCTACACGTCTGCTTGTATTCTAACAACCACGAGTGCATTCACCATATTACTCTTGTACTTTTACCACTGTCTGCATTTTTATAGACATTATGATGGAGTAGAGCTATCTAATTGGTGGAATGATAGGTAATCACAGTGTAATCTATCAACGTGCGAGTGTATTCTAGTGAAGTTCATTGTCATAGAATATATTGGGGGGCATTTCTATAATATTTGGATTTCATACCCATTTTTTTTTTCATTGTTTCCACAATTATTTCCAGTCTTGTTTATAATTTTATGTGTCAGTGTAGGAGCTATAATTTTATGAATGATGATATCGTACCTTCTCCTTTTCCATCTTTGTTCTTGTATCTACAGCATCTGATAAAATCTGAAATCTACAGTCCCTGTCTGTTAGATACCCTCGAAATATTGGAACAGCTGCTGTTAACGCCATCTAAAAGTTGGGATTATTTATATTAGTAGAAAAAACAAAAAAAAAGACAAAAACCACAATACGCATTCTGACACAATAATTGCCTGTTTTTACTAATACTGTATCAAGTTTATTTGTAAATCTTAATCACTATACTTGATGAAACAAAACTCGAAAGCTAAAACTGTTAGCACCCATATAATTTCAATAACACTGGTAATTTTCTCAGCTGAGATCACCAAGAACTATTAAACAATTTATCTATAGTGTTAATTGGTTAACAGGTTAATAGCTTTTTTTGGTTTCTTTTCATTCGAATCCAATATATACTGTTGCGTCAGCGAGTCACATGACTGGTGTGACGCCACGTTTCTAGAACTATCCCGTAT